CACCTTTGCTCCGAGGTTCCCACGGCGTTTTTCTGTGGTATCTGCTCCCCCGCTTGGTCTTGCCATTTGCTTTCACCTAAGTTGTCGGCTCGGTGCCTCCGAGCCCGGCAGATTCAAAAGTACATGATTTCTTACTTCGCTACAAGTTCCTTCAAACCTATAAGCCTTCAAACCTTTTAAATATTCCTATCTCTGTGGTTCCGAGTTTTGGAGCTCTGCCCTGGATCTGCTTTGCTTGGTCTTTTGTGGTATGGTTGACGGCGAACTTCACTCCAACTCCACCCTAGCCACCATCAAGCCCCCCAGAAGATACTTTTTAAGCAAAATGAAATTAAAGAACAAAAAGTACACTTGCTTTATTATTTTACTTATGTTTAAGCCTAGCTCTAACAAGCTTATAAAACACACTGTGTTTTCCCTGTTGGAATCAGGGTTCCCAAAGGATTTAACAAGATGTACACTACCAAAGTGTTTTCAGTTACATAAGTACCTAAGAAAAATATAGGTTATCAGTAAAAGAATTAAGAAAAAAAAAAGCTCCAGGATCCTTTTCTTCAAAATGTCCATTATCAAATAATCTTTTTTAAAAACCCAACTCAATTGTGAGGATAATGATATAAGATCCAAAGTGTTTCGTTTACACACGGGGTAGACATGGAATGGACTTCACAGCACCCAACAAGTTCTATATTACTACTTTAAGAGTAAATTGTGATACATGTTCTCATGTCTTTTAAATTTGCCTTTACTGAAAAATGGCAAGAACATAAGTTTTATATCCTATCATACTAGGTATGAATTCTTGTTCTGTGTCTTAAACACTGTGTGACCCTGCTAAGTTATGTAACTTCTCTGCTTGCTTTCCCAACTGTAAAAGAATAAAGCACCTATCTCATAAGGGGGGGAAAAAAAAATCCAACTCATCTAAAAGGAAAAGACTAATGAAAAAATAGTAGCTACTTACCAATAAGTCATCATTCACATTTCCTGCTCCATCTTCCTTAAGGATTATGTTGGAGAGGCAGTGTTCACAGGTAGAGAGAACTTCCACACACACCTGCTTCAGTAATTCCTGTGGCAAGTTAAAGACAATTTCTGAAGGAACCCAAACATCGACAAGACTACCCACAACACTCAAATTTCTCAGAAGAAATTCTATCTTCAAATGAATAAATGATGAGCCAAGCAAAGAACCTAGCTATCCTGCTTTGTATCTTTCCCACAATCTGCCCCAAAACAAAACGACACATTTTTAACTAGCAGTCTAGCTATTAGAACTAGCTTAGTGGGATCCTGTAGTCCTGGTGTGGCACTGTGGGCTAATGCACTGGACTGTATAAGGTCGGGTTGAACCAAAAGGTCAGTGGTTGTAGCTCACCAGCCACTCCTCAGAAATCCTATACAGGGTTGCTATGAGTCGAAATCAACTTAACAACATTTAATAACAACAACAAAGCAAGTGGAACCCTGGTGTGGCACTGTAGGATAGCACAGGACCACTAACAAAAGGTTGGAGGATAAAACCTACGAGCAGCAGGCTCCTTGGAAACCCTATATAGGGTTGCTATGAGTTGGAACCAACTTGAGACTCGAAGACACTTAACAGCAAGTATAGTTACCAAAATGTGTGTGTGTGTGTGTGTGTGTATAAAATACTTCTTTCTGCATCTGTCCTACAAAGGTAAAAGGAACTTGATGACAACAGGTTTAATACCCTAATTTATATCAATAAAATTGGCATTTCTCCAGTAAAAGTGATAAACACTGCAATTCTGGCAAATGCAAGTGTTGCATTAACCACTCTGATAATAATGAACATATTATTTAAAGAATAAGTTATTATTTTGAGATTTATTCATTAAAAGTTTCAGTGTTTGTTATTAGTTAAAATAACTTCAAGGGGTCACCACCTGCAGTCCACCATATCTAACTGCACTTACACACTAAGGGAGGGAGCCCTCAGCAGCACTCAATAACTCTTCAGCCTCATTTTCCCCAGGAGAACATTCTGAAATACCTAGGTTGAGCTAAGCGTATCCATGTTACTCTAGGCATACTTAACACTACATACACGGCAGATGTTTTAGGAAGACAACGCCTTAACCATCATTCTAGGGCCTAAAAGTACTACAAGACCAAAATGTTGGCAAACCACCACTACAATCAAAATGATTTTTCAGTCTGACTTGATCTACAATGTTTCAAAACTACTGCCTTTTTATTTTCGGTGAAAATATGCACAGCAACACCTGCACCCATTCCACAGTTTCTAGACTTAATGATCAGTGAGTGACATTGGTTACATTCTTCATATTGTGTCAATATTCTCCTCATTTCTGTTCTAGTTTTTTCCCTTCCATTGACTTAATCTTTCTGGCCCCTAACCTTCACACCTCACACCTATGCTATAAAATAGCTACTGAACCTTTCTGTCTTACATAAATGGTTTTTATTTTGTTTTAAAGAACTGCAATATTCAAATGTGACAATTTTAACTATTTGAGCTAAACAGTTAGTTAGTTAAAAGGTAGGATGCACACAGGACCACTAATAGTTTCAACAGTTACAATTCAAGTGCACAGCCTTGGGAGCTCCTCCAGCTTCCACAGGTTTAAGTTTGGATTCTCTTAGAATTTGAGGATCTCTTCCACATTCTTCCCCCTTTTTATCAGGATTCATCTACTGTGTTCAGTAACAGTAACCAGCTAAGTACCCTCTAGTTCTTCTGGTCTCAAAGTGGAAGAGGCAGTATCATGTGGACAATTAAAACTGTAATCCAGTTTCTTCTGATTCTTTTTTTAAAATCTACTTTTTAAAAAATTATTGCACTCAAGATTTTAATAGGATGAGTCTGGGGAAGAAAGGGCAGGGAAAATGCTGATAGGATTTATTATTCAATAGTGAATAATTGTTAAGAGAATTAATCATGATTGTAAACACTGTAATAATAGAAGATGTACCTGAAGAGGAGAGAAGTTAATCCTTCATGTTAAGACAATGGTCAAAAAAGTCAGGCATGGCCTGTGGTACTGTGAATTTACTTGATTTGGCTTTTCTACCCAGTGTCTTTAACTCCCACCAAATGAATGGTTGGGACCACGCAAACAGGATGTACAGGACTCTAACGTTGGGATTGGTTAGTTTTGCAATCCCACTAGGTTTAAAATGAGCCATCTCAGAAGCAGGAACAAATGATGCAGTACCACCAAGAAGAAGAGATATGAGCAGAACACGAAAACCTTATGTGGAAAAGAGCAACAGAGGAGATGGCATGGAGAGACAGAGCAGATGCAGTCTTCCCCGCCCGTGGACCTACTAGTGCCTACGGGCAGGAGGGTGGCTTGCTGAATGTGCTCTATGGGCATTTACAGACTAGCTAAAGGAGTTTTGTAACATTTGCCTGAGCAGGGCAGAGGCTGAGGGGTCATGTGGTTGAAAGGCCAAAGACAAGAGGAGTTCCTGCCTGGAGAAGTGCTGTATCCTAAGTTGTTTCTGATCCTTAATTGTACCTTGTTAATTTCCTTAATAAGAAGCTCTGGTATCATAGTGGTTATGTGTCAGGCTGCTAACCACATGTCAGCAGTTCAAAACTACCAGCGGTTCCAAAAGAGAAAGATGAGGCTTTCAATTCCCGTAAAGATTTACAGCCTCGGAAACCCTATGCAGGGTCGCTATGAGTTGGAACCAACTCCACAGCACACCACCATCACCAACAGCTTCCTTAAAATCTCATAATCATGAGTATTGTCTGTGAGTTCTGTGTGGCCACTGCAACAGATTAACAAACTCAGATGGAAAGCAAAGAGTGCTGTAGAAGGGGTGGTTGGTGTCAGAAAAGACAAAGGTTAGAGGATGGAGGTACATCTGACCTCTGCCTAAGGAATCAGGCTTAGGCAAATTTTGAGTTTGATTCTCCTTTCCTCTTAACCTAGGCCATCACATCAGTCAAGCAGACTTATGACACCTGTATGCTCTCTCCTGACAGGAAGATAAAGCTAACCTGTTTCAGACTCCAAGCCCTTGCTGGAGAGTTTGGTAAATAACTTTCAGAATCACACTATCTGGAAGAACCTTCAAGGCCATACAGTGCTGAAACCCCATCCACACTGAATCATGCTGACTTGCCATTTGGCTTCTCCATCAGCACCTCCAATACTATGGTCAGGTTCTAAGGCAAATTACCACATTATCAGGTAGAACTTCACTTAACTTTTTTTCTTCTGTAAGCCAAAATCTGGGTCCTTGCAATTTCCATCTATTGGTCCATATATGTCCCTCTAGTGATACCAAATAAATTTAACTTTTCTTTCATTTGAAAACCCTTGATCTGAATTTAGCTAGACAGTTTATCCCATACAACTGGCCCTTTTCAATGCTAAACACTCCAGGGGCTTCAGCTTTTCCTTACTCAACTTGTTCTGTAATCCTCTCATCTAGCTGTTCTCCTCTGGTTATTGTCAGTTTTATCAAGATTTCTTTGAAAAGTTATCACTGAAATTGAATTACAGAATATGTCAACTTAAATTTAACGAGTACACTTTCTGTATCCAGCTGCCACAAGGGGTGGTGGTGAATGAGTGGAGGTCCTCCGGGCCCCTGGTGTGGTGGCCATCTCATGCCCTGCTGCCCAGGGTCTGTGCCAACCCTTGCCCGGCTTCTCCCACCGCACCTCCACAGCCCAAGGTTCCTTGGCTGCCTATGACCCTACCACTGAAAGTGGCTATACATTCTCTTGTCTTCACCATTGAGTTCAACCCCATCTGACACAGTTCTAGGTCTTGTTCAGCGCTCAAGGGACCCAGGTTCCTGATCACATAATGTCCTGATTCTGTGTGTGAGAGACCTCACAGGTCACCTTTCTCCACAGCTACCACCATGTCCACACATCTGTAATGGGTGGTCATTAGGAACTACTTCAATTTCCTAATCAAGATATGCAAGCAGAAGTACAGTACATAGCACAATAACCTTTTATTCCTGCAACTCCTTCTGCTATAATAGATTGATTCACCGAAAGACTAGTGTAAAGCTGGCCACTGACAGCAAAGAGGCTGTGGTGGTTCTGAAGCAGAGGTCAGGCCAGTTGAAACCAGTGCAGACCACCATTAACAAGAACGCCCAGCAACACTGAGCAGCATCCAGCACATGATCCGCAAGAACAGGTACCGTCCTGATGTGCACATGGCCACAATCTCCAGAGCTAGCACAATCCCATGTAGCCAGAAACCCATGAGGGTAAAGAGGAAGCAGACCCGCCCCAGTAAGACCTCCTGAGCAGCACCTCACTCCAGAGCAATAAAGACAACTTCCTATACACACACAAATATTGAACTAGTACAAAGAGCATGGCCACCACCGCACTTATTCAAGATACTATTTCTATTACCACACTCTTAAGATTTCACAGACTTTTTAATGGTAGCTACAAAATACTAGTAACCATGACCCCGAGACCAGAGGAACTGGCTGGTGTCCAACTATTAATGCGAACTACTCTGAAAGGAATTACATTAGGTCTGGAGAGAGTGGGAGAAAAACGTGGAAGCTCAAAATCATAAAAATGACCAGGCTTACTGGCTGGGTAGCGAGTGGTAGAACCCCTGTCAGAATATGTTCCTTAATCAAGGTCGCCTTAGAATAATCTGTCATTTGCAATCAAACAGCAAGCTTTTGTCCAAAGACAAATTTCAGAAGGTTAGGAAAGAAGAGGGAACAAAAGCAGGTAACAGGAAGGGATAAGTGGGGTAAGTGGGGTTTGCAATCAATGCCATAATTCAACGTGTGAATTGTATGTAAAATTGGTTTGCTCTTTAAACCTTAACCAATTCAGAAGAACTAAAAAAAAAAGAAAAGAAAAGAAAAGAAAACCCCCAAGTAACTATTAACTCATACCAAGTGTATGTTGTTGTTGCTGTAAAGTGCCATCAAGTCAGTTCCGACTCATAGCGTATAGGATTTCCGAGGTGCAACTTGTGGTCCACTGCTTATTCTACAGTGCCCACCAGGACTCCTATACCAAGTGCATAGATTAATAAAAATGTTCATTGACCTCAATGTTTTCAGATGTACTCC